GCTCTTACAAGAAGGAAACTGAGATATTTATATGTATGCCCTTTAGAGACGCTTTAAACTAGAAATTTCTATTTGTTATCTCACCATCCTGCGACATATTACAAAGTTTCGGAATCAATAACGCCCGAACATCAGATTTTTAGACGCCCAGCCCGAACGTTGTTTCTACCGTACGATTTTCTGGCACGAATCACGGAACAAGCCATCTGCCATGTCACCCTTTTTCTCTTTCGGAAAGAACATCCGTCATCGCAAACGCCCTGGCTTCTCTTATCCTTTTCCCTTTTCCCCAACGAGTCTCTCAGTCTATCCACTCCCTCCTCCACTCTACCGCTCACTTTTCTCCCCTCCATCTCGAGCTCGTGCGGAGCTGCCCGGCGGCGTATTCGGAGACCACGGCGGAGGAGCTCGTGCGGGTGGGCTGCGCTGGTGACGTACTCGAGAACCGCGGTAGACTGGCGGAGGAGCTGCTCCTGGAGCTCGGGCGGCTCCGGCGACGCGCGCGCTGGTGGAGAGGAGCGGCGGGGAGGAGATGGGGGGCGATGCGTTCGACGATGGGGGTCGCCCCCTGCTACTGCCCGGGTGTTGGCGCGGCTCTGGCGACACACGAGGAGGCCACGGCGAGGAGATGCGCGAGCGGGGAGCGCGCGGAGGCGGCTCTAGCGGAGAGGAGCAACGGGGAGGAGATGGGGCGCGATGTGGCGAGCTCCTCTTCGAGGTCTATGCATGTGTGCACATCCTCCGCTTCACCTTTGGTTTCTTTCAAATCTTGTCTGTTCGTCTTTGCAAACTGTTCATGCTTCCATCTGATGCACTTATGGATACAGTGAACTATGTGCCCTCTGTGTGCTTTACCTTCCAGCAATTATTGGGCGAAAATTGCAATGGTTTCCATGAAAATGCTGCCATGTCTCCCAATTTTTTGCCATGCTTCCTAATTGGTTACCATGCTAGAATTGCCATGTTCTTTGTATAGTTTTGACATTATTTGTCATGTCTCAACACATGTCAGTATTCCCTTTTTTATGTGTGTTCACATTTTTGCCATGGCAACTTCCCCTATTTGTGTTGATTGTGACAGTAGGGCCCTAGCCCGGTCTGAGCAGAGAACACAGAATCAAAACATAGCAATCATTGCTCGCTTACTTAGCACGGGCAATGGTTATGTGCTCATACTATGTGCTCTCCATTTATAGTGTCACACTTCCATGTGCTTGGATGTGTTTTGACACACTGATGGACTAGATAATATGTTTTCTTCAAAATATTCATTACCGCGCATAGGTATCCAAAACTATTTTTTTGCCATGGCAACTTTTCATTGCTATGCATATGTTCTCAACATGAATTTTATTACCCAAGCCTTCACCATGATCAACTCTTTTTTTTTTTTTTTTGCTTTTGGTACATGGCAAACTCGAGAGATAAATTTTCCAATCCTTTATTTAAAATTACAAATATCTAAATTTGACATGTTTCATTACTAAAAAAATGTAAAGTTGCCATGTGTTTTTTAGAGAACACTGTCCTAAATTTTCCACGGCCCATGGCAATATTCTCAACTTGCCATCTATTTTTTTAAAGAAAAAAAATCCTAAGTTTGCCACGAAAAACCATTTACAATTTTTTGAAAAACTTGGCATGTATTTTTTAGATAACTAAATTCCCGAAACTTGCCATGTGCTTGATGGCAAATTCCTTATCTTTTTGCCATGTGCCCTTACAATTTCCTCGAAAGTTGGCATATGTTTTTTAGAACAAATTTTCTTTACAACTTACTAATGTGGCCATTGCAAATTCCAAAACTTATTTTACCCCACATTTTGCCATGATCTAAGAAGGTAATTTGCCATGATCTTTTTAAGAATATGACAATTCTCTTATTTTTGGAGCATTCCGAGTTTCTTTGTTTTTGGATCATGGCAAATTCATTTCATGAACCATGGCAACTCTTATTGTTGCACCATGACAAATTTATTTTTTCCAGATTATGGCAAATTAATTTCAAAAACGTCAGAAACTTGCCATGACAAACTTTTATATGTGCAAAACATGGTAACTTCTTTTAATTAAGTTTGTTTAAAAACATGGCAAACTTCTTTTAATTAACATGTTCACAAATATCCAAACTTGCCATGGCAAGTAAAGATGTTCAGAAACATGGCAACATTGTAGATGTTTAAAAACATGGCAAATTGCCATGGCAAGTAAAGATGTTCAGAAACATGGCAACGTTGTAGATGTTTAAAAACATGGCAAATTGCCATGGCAAGTAAAGATGTTCAGAAACATGGCAAATTTGTAGATGTTTAAAAACATGGCAAATTGCCATGGCAATTTAAGATCTCAAAAACATTCACAAACTTGCCATGAAAAACTTAAGATGTGCAAAAACATGGCAAACTTTTTTTTAATTAAGTTTGTACTAAAACATGGCAAACATGCAAACTTCTTTAACTAAGATTTTCAAAACACATGGCAAACTTGCGATGGCAACTAAATATGTTCAAAAACATGGCAACCTAAGATGTTCAAAAACATGTCAAACTTGCCATGGCAACTAAAAACAGTGTTATTTATATATGTGTTTTTTTCCATGGCAACTAACTGCATTTTTTCCATGGTTCATTGTGTCTTTTCTGCCATGTCCATCCGAAGAATGTTTGTCATGGCCATTACAAATTAGTTTGAGAACACAACAAGTTTGTTCTTTCAATTTTGTTTTTGCCATGGCGATTACATGTACGATATCATACAACTTAAGATGTTTTCTTCATTTTTTCCGAAAATTCTAGAGAGAACTTTTTCAGCCATATCACTTCATGGCAACTTCTTCGTTTTTTTGTAAACTCCATAGTGATGGAAACTTTTCATACCGTAGAGATGCAGATTTCCATGACTTTCTTTTTTGCGCCATTTTTTAAAACATAAACTTGAACATGGCAATTTTTTCCATAGAATGACAAAGATCATGGCAATTTTGTCGTGCAAAAGACTAGTGTTTATTAGTCATGTATAAAAACTAGGCTTTAACTAGTGATTTAATCTGGGCCTTATATTTTTTTCTTTTTAGCAGGAAAAAGGCATTTAGGGATCGTGGGTGGGGGCGTGGGCGTTCAGGTTGGGGCTTTTTCCTTTCGAACGACTGGGTTCGGTCGATCCCCCTCTGGTAACGAACGAAATCACTAATTAAGGAGTACTCTTTGAGGAGATCACTCCAACTCCCCGGGTTGCGACAAGTGGCGCGCGGTATGTGCGTCACTTGTCGCAACCTGAGAGTTTTTTCTTTTTTCATAGATCCGTTTATTCAAAATGGTTTATCTCTTAAATCGTGCGTCCAAATCTCGAACCGCTTTCGCCGTTGGATTCCTCGCGTTGAGATCTTCAAAATTAGATCTCATGTTGATAGGTTTTGATGAACTTTTCTTTACGAAAAAACCGGAGGAAAAAACCGACGAAAAAACCAAACCGGAACACGGGTTTTTTCCCTTTCCGAAAGAGGCACGCTCGTGCTCTGACGAAATCACAATCGTGCCTCTCGCGGAAGCAAAACCGTGCCTCTCGAAAAAGAAAAAAAACAGAAAACGCGTCTTTTTTCCCTTTCCGAAAGAGGCATGCCCGTGCCTCTTGCGAAAGCACAACCGTGCTTTTCGCGGAAGCAAAACCGTGCCTCTCGCGAAAGAAAAAAAACAGAAAACATGTTTTTTTTCGTTTCCGAGGAGGCAAGGCCGTGACTCGCGAAAGCACAACCGTGCCTCTCGCGGAAGCAAAAACGTGCCTCTCTCGAAAGGAAAATAAATAGAAAACACGTTTTTTTTCGTTTCCAAGAGGCACGGCCGTGCCTCTCGCGAAAGCATAACCGTGCCTCTCGCGAAAAAAAACCGTGACTCTCGCGAAAAAATGTGTTTTTTTTGCACAAAAAAATTATATATATATTTTAAAAAAAATTGGTCGAAAAGCTAGGGAAGACCAGTGGAAAACC